AAGCGTTTAGAGAACAAAGAGGCAGATGGTGCCTGGAGAAAAGTTATGTCCCTCCATCTCCACCACGGGTGCGCGATGCCTCTCTTCCACTCCTCTCAGTCCAAGCGTAGCTGATTTGCTTGTATGTAAAGGTTCTGCGTTATGTCATGTTCCCCCAGCAAAGGATGATGTCATGCTTTCCAAAGACAGTTAAAACATTCCAGATTCTTGGGAAGCTTGGTTAGTAAAGATCCACTGTGGCCTTTCCTTTTCAGGTTGTATGATTTATATACATATTTTTTTAATAACTAGGCCTTGTAATGAATTTTGTTACATGTAACAAGTCCCTGATACCTTGTATAAATTATAATCTGGTTATACTGCAATTACTGCACAAGGTGGTAGTTTAGCAGGCCCGCCCCACAGGCAGACAACCACATCAACATGCATCTGTTTTTGGTTGAGACAAGTAGCATTTGCTTGGTGGGTATACACGGCTGTAGAGATAAGGTAGAATAGGAAGCTGATCTTTAATGAATATCCTGAATTGTCTGACCCAGATGCCTTAAGCTACGGAAAAAATCACTCTGAGAGTCTCTGGGGAGAGAGGTGTTGTAAAAAGGGTTGTAAAAAAACAAAGTATTGCAGCATTGTCAGATTACAGAATAATATGTATGTAGAAGTTGGTTACACAGTTGGAGTCCCTCAACTAAGAATGCATTAGACCTGAGTTTATGTACGTTATTTTAAGCTTCCACCATTATTTTGGGTCTGAGCTTATCCTTCCCAGATCTTATTTTCCATTTATCCTTTCACACCTTGATTTGGACTTTTAAGCTGTGCTATATGTATGGATTGGGTGTGGGAGGGGTGGGTTGTTTGTTTTTTAATTACTAAGTACCATAAACGGAAATGCTGAAGTAGTTACGTTGAGGTAGTTGTATTTTATTGGAAGTATGTACAGAAGGAGAAAGGAAGAAGACGTCAAACTGACATCCTAGAAAATTTATTTGGTGCCTACTCTGAGGACAGTAAAATTCAATTTTGCTTGCGCTGCTAAGAAGTCTTGGGCATGCGGTGGCCTGGATACACCATACATGGATGACTTCCTGGAAGAGAACCCAATACGCACTTTGCCTATTAGTCATACAGCTGTTTGTGAGATAGAAGAGGAATATTAGATATCCGAGTTCCTGGTTTCTAATCTTGGTCTGGAATTAGTGTGTTGTCTGTTGACCAGAGCACTGATCAGACAAATACTTTGGTTTTATATATTTATCCTCAAATGTTACAAACCGGACATAAACCAGGGAGGCTGGCTTTATTCCTACGGTTATGTGATTTGTGTAATTTCTGTATTTCTGTTTTGGAGGTTGGAAGGATATATTAGGTGCCTGCTGTCTAGGATAAAGCTGTGAGGTCATGATCAGTAATAATGGCTGTGAACAATACTTACCTGAAGAAATGTAACCAGAACCCAGGATTACTTGGCTACTATATGAGGCTGAAGAGTAGTCTTGAGGAAGCAGGCTCCTTTGCTCTACCACTGGCATGTAGGGAGGGATGACAAGACTGGACAAAACTTGAATATCAGGTCAGATGGTAAACACCTAGCAGACTTGTACATCATATTTTTTGCAACCTTCAAGCATAAAAAAAATCAGACCTCAAAACATCCTATAAATAGCTTAAAAATCGTGAAATATAAAAGCTGATTTATGCCTCCATACTGTTCCAGGGTTTGTTGCGCAGCTAGGGGTATGCATTCTCAATTTGTCTGCTCATCTCAGAATCATCAGAAAAAAGTGTGATATGAAAACACATAGATAAACACCTGGGTCTACACTTGGAGAGAACCCTCCTCATTGCCTGACAGAGCAGGAGTTGTCATTCCATCCTCATCTCTTCCCCCTAGCAAGACCGGATATGCAGCTGCTCTACTCAAATGCTTTCTTTATTCTCCCCAACAATCTCCTACTTCAATTCACTTTCCCTCCCTTTTTCTCTTCCTTTTCCTTACACTTTTTATTCTTTATTCTTCCTACTTTGCATTGGCAACTTCCACTATAAAGCTCAGGTTGCCTCTTGCTGCTTTTGCAATTTTTGAATTATTGCTTCCCATATTATTCCCTAATAGATTGCTCTTTCTTCCTTCTTTCTGTCTCCGAGATGTTCATTGCACTGTCTCACTCTGTCCTCTCTTGTCTAAACCTGGTAGTAGCTGCATTTGAGCCCAGTTAGACGCAACTCTTCTGGGAATAGACTCCCTTTTGCCAGTGCAAGTGAAGGAAAATGATTGCTACTAACTGAGATTAGACTGAGCTCAGCCTCACTGATACTAACAGGAGCTGGCAGCTATTTTGACTTAAATAAAACTTTCCATTAGAAGGCAGGTATGGAACTTGATGAAAACCACTAAAAATAATATAAGCGATTTAGCACTTTAAAAATTGAGCCCTGAATTTGTCTATCAGATTTATAAGTTGACAGGTCATCTTTTAAAATACTAAATTGTTTGGTAACAAACTTATTCAAATTTAAGTTTAATAAAGGAGTTTGTAAGCAATTAATGTAAGAATAAATATGGAGCTAATATTAAATGTTTACCTGATCATTTCAGCAAGGCCTGAAAAAGAGGCTGAATAATGAAGTAACAGTTCCTTAATACAGTTCTTTTAATGTGATGACACTGAGTGTGCCGGAATTGCTCACTGTTTTCAGCAAAGTGAAGTAACCAGGCAATATGAAAGTATTTATTCTCTTTAGGCAATACTCCATTTTAACTGCTAGGATAGCAATGTATAAAATAAATGACAAGATCAGTTAGGCATTTTATATCTACTTAACTCCATCATGAAAAGACAAGGAGCCCTCAGTGAAACTAAAATGAAGCAAATCTAACCTGAGAAAGATGCTTATATAATAAAACTCAGTTTTTCAATAACATAATGCTTTCTTTTAACCTTCAAGCTAGTTGAAATGTTCACTTTCTGGTAAAAAGACTAGCAAAGGTTGTTACCCATAGTAGGCTTAAATTACTTAATAATGAATTTCAGGAAATAAGAATATACTGAGGTATTTCAGAGAATAAAAATACATTGAGTTAACTTGGCTCATTTGGGCCTTTCTTACATTTGTTTCTTTGGAACTTGCCCAGGTCAAGTAATTCAGATATCAGATTGAATGAAGCTCTCGTGTTCTGATATAGCTGTTCTTATTATCTTTTTAACTTTCAGTTACTGAAGAGTTAAACTGGTAGGAATAAAAATTGTTTTTCTTCTAGTGGCTACTAATATAAAAAACCTGCCTTTACGCCCTGACTTTCTTGGTTATAAAGTGCTTTTCCATTTCTGGATGTATAGTGAGCCCTCTGCTCATCTTAATAATTAATCTGCAAAGTGAAGCTGTCACCTGCAAAAACCTGATAGCAAGGCTGTGGTCCCTTCCACATGCAACCTGAAATCATCTGAAAAGCAATAATCCAGAAATAAAAAAGGGACATAAAGGAGCGGTATTCAGTGAAGAGAGCCAGCCCTGTACTATCTGGGATATTTCAATAAATGAGGAATTCTCAACTGCTGTAAGAAAGCAGTTTTCCTGGCCCTTAATGCTTCAGAGTAGCACAAACAAGTCAGAGCAAGTGTTGAGAAACTCTTAATTACAGCATTGATTCAAGGCAGGCAGACCATACAGTCCAACATAAACAGACTGTAGAAAGCAAAGACATAAGTTTTTCAGCAACCTGTTTTCAACTCCCTTAATTTCTTTTTCTCGGCTTTAGTCATCTCTCTTTCATCTGTAAAGCAAAGTATATTTCGTCCTTTGAACAATCGGCATACAATTTTATAGAACGTTAATGTTTTCACACTGCTGATTTCAATTATGTAACTTCCATACAAGTGTAAGCGCTTGGTCCGGAATAACCAGAAACTTAGATATTCATGTATAAGACAACAAACACGTATGTCTGTAAACTAAATTCTGAAAGCTACAACCTGACCTATATTGATCATCAAATCATGAGGAGAGGAATGATGAGAGGAATTCCTTTCAGGCTGTGTAGCTGTGTACTGAAGTAGAGGCTGGAGATATGTGGATTGTGGGTCTTGGAAGGGAGGCAGCTAAAATGAACTGCAGAGTACAGGGCAGATGGAATGTTAAATAGTAAAATTTCCACTCTTTTTTTTTTTTTTTTCCTCTGTAGGTTTGCCAGGGTATTAACAATAATTAGGAACTGAAAAGTGGTAATTTGGAAATCTGAAACTATTCGTATAGCACAAATTAATGCCTATGTGCTAATTTTTATTTGTTTAAAAAAATTACATGCCCTATTTGTATATGAGCTTTAGAGTATGTTTTTAAAAATGATACTATGACAGGTTAATATTTTCTTCAGCTAAGAATCATGACACAATCTCATTTCTAATAGCTGTAATCTTTCTATAGCTGGTATAAGTTATGATTAATTTATTGCGCTAGAATAGTTTGGCTAGTGATTGTTGTTCTAACTAGGTAGCTATTTGATCTGGGTTTATAAATTAATTAAACTATTAGGAGCTCTTATTTTATTATTGACTTCCAGCTCAGTCTGACAGTTATTTATTTTCCGAGCGCTAGTAATTCAGACTGCAACACTTTTCCCTGGAGAGAGAGAGAGAGAGAGTGTGTGTTTGTTTGTGTATTTTTTTCTTTTCGAGCACTCTTCCTTTCAGGTCGCTTGTTCTCACCACAGACATCAGGGAAAAGCTATATGCAGATAAGACTTCAAACCCCATAATTCCTTGGGAGAGCATGCGCTGTATCCTTCCAGTTGTCAAAGTGCTCTTGCCAAAGTGGTCGCCTGTTTGTCGTATACCAAACCCGAAAGAGGGAAATAAACACACTCTCATTTTATTGATCTTTAAATACAGAAAATCCAAAGGTAACTGTTCCTTAAGAATTTCTGCGTTGACTGCGTGGGTTACTGCACGAAACGGAGCTGTTATTGCTATGGGGATATAAATTTCCTGTACTGGATTGTAAATTTGCACAAGTACTTACACCAGCAGATAATCAAGAGGTACTGCATATTAGTCCAACATTAGACATTGGCTGGCCTGTCTTTCAAAGTCATTTATTATCCAGTGTTTTTCCATTCAGACTGGCTTCATTCATTAAAGGTAGGTCTTGACCTTGGCAAGAGGGTTGAATTATGCAGAAATTTTATCTTTAAGAAGTAATATGAAAACGAATGTGAACTGCAGTCCTCAGGATAAAGTTCAAAAACAAATAGCTAAGTCAAGGTACATATTTGAAACAACTGCTGCGGTAGCAACTATAGATAATTTGGTGACTGACTGATTTAAATATACTTTATTGACAACAGAATGTTAATGTTTCAGCTGCTATGTTTTTCTCTCTCTCTATATTTTAATATTAATGTCTCAGAAACTGGGGAGGGATAAACATTGTGTTTTTTTCTCTGATGTGGAATCATTAGCAATTTTATGCAGCCTTAGAACTAAAGGTGATTTTGATAGAAATGCAGCTAATGGAAAGCTACACAGAGCTTGGAGTATTATGGCTTACTGCAGTGTCGCTTTAAACTGCCTTGCAAGGTTTTCTGCACCCCCAGCAGCAGCAGCAGTGCTGCCCTTTTCAGTTGCAATAGTTTATTCCCCTCTTCTTAGGAACTTGTCGTAATGCTGTCTCACTACATAGTCTGTTCATGAACCCTTGTTGTTAGGCTTACATACTAAAAAGGGAAATAATAGAGAACATGAGCAGTAACCTAATTGATAGCTGACACTCATTTTTAGTTAAGAAACGTGTGTACGGCTTAGAAGAGAAAAAAAAAAATACGAAAAATAGCCTTAAAGATAGACATGGACCATCTGAAAACAGTTGATGTCAGAAAGCAGAGGATCATTGACTTCACTTTTTGATATCCTTCTTAACCAATTTATAGATTTGGCTTAAATTTACTTTGTTTCATTAAACAACAATTCTAAAAAAAGGAAGTGGTCCTAGGAAAGTACACATCATATGATTAGCCTGATAGAAATGTGATTAGGTATCCAGCAATGACTATCTTTGACATGGTTACTCAATTAAAGTAAGTAATTTTGGCTTATTTAAAATACTTTTAGAATTATAGTGATCTCTTTAATTGACTAAAAGTCTGTAAAATGTGGAGGTGCGTGTTCTAGTTTCATACAATCGCTGTTCCTTGACATCTGTCTGTGCATTAGTACTAGTGTTTTAAAATAATATTCAAATTATATTATCTGACCTATTTTATATGAAGTACCTTTGAAGACTCAGTCATGCTACATGCATTTAATTCTTAAAGTTTAAATTTATGCTTTATTGATTTAGCAAATAAATTGCATTGTTAATCTTTGTTTTGTGCATATAAAGATGGCTTTTGAAATGTGGCATGTCTATATTTAAAATATTTTGATTTATCCTATTTTTATTTTGTGAAAGCATCAGAAACTTGAGTCTAATACTGTCTCCCAGATTTGCTCATTTTGACCTTAATTTTGTCTGTAAACAAATTACTGTCCTCATATATAGGAATATAGTGAGTAGAAATACACTTAAACAAGGGACTACTTTGATGTAAAATACTGTTTTAAATGGAAAGTTGTCAGGTCACTAAAGGCGAATATAACTGCACGTCGGTGGTTTTGTACATAAAGTGTCTCTTCATCTTTTTTCCCCCACCTCGTCGTTATGATTGTTTCTCATGCATCCTAAGCAAACAGCAAGCTGTCTAGTGAAAAAAGGTCAGAAAATGATTGTGCAGCAAAGAATTGCTTCCATAATCAGCACATGATTTTATGTGTGCTTTCTCTCTGTTAAATTTAAATAATTGAAAGCTTGTTTGTTAATCAAGGAAAATAGGCATCTGGCTCCTTTAAAGGTCCCCTAATAGAAAAGGGGTGGAGAAGAGTGAAGACTGGTGTCTTTTTAACCTTGCTGAAGGACGCAGCAGTATTTATTGACGTATGCAAATAACCAAAGGAGGAGGTGGAGGAGGAGGAGGGTGCTTGGAAAAACAGGAACCAGAATCAGTTTCTCATTGCAGGGTGAGAGCGCTGAGTTCCGGTGTAAGAGAAAAGAGACGTGGCGAAATTGCTGTATATCTCTGCCCTATAAGCACATCTCTCATTTAGACTGAAGGGAAACAAGACATCAAAAAGGGTGAAGCATCTTAAAAAATATTTTAAAGGCAATCTGGCACAATCAAACGTTGCATATTCCTAAATGGGGGAGGGGGAGATTACGGGTTTGCCTTGTAACTTGCTGTAGCACAGCACTAGCAATAGGACGAGCTTTTTGGCAGGCAAATGATTAAGACAGCCTAGTTTGTGGTATGAATGACAATGTTAATAATCTGTCTTTGTGATTTTTTCCCCTACTGTTTCAGCTGCGCAAACCATGCAGGATGATTTACTGATGGACAAAAGCAAAGCCCAGCCCCAGCAGCAGCAGCAGCGGCAGCAGCAGCAGCAGCAAGATCCAAACTCAGCAGAAGCTCCCTCTACACCCATCACGTCGGAGACACCCAAACCAGAAGACAGCAGCCCAGTGACTAGTATTGGCACATCAGCTCCTGTCCAAAATAGCAAGGAGAAGATGCAGATGGAGTCCCCCATTTTGCCTGGTTTGAGCTTTCACCAGCCTCAACAAGAACCTGCAGCTGGCACCTCCTTGTCTCCCTCCTTTGGCAGCACCTGGTCTACAGGGACCACAAACACGGTGGATGATAGCTTTTTCCAAGGGATTACTCCAGTCAATGGGACAATGCTTTTCCAGAATTTTCCACACCACGTCAACCCTGTGTTTGGTGGCACTTTCTCCCCTCAAATTGGCCTAGCTCAGACTCAACACCACCAACATCAGCAGCAGCAGCAGCAAGCTCAGCAGCAGCAGCAGCGTAGGTCACCTGTGAGCCCTAATCAGGCACCTTTCGCCCAGAGAAATGCTGCTTATAGCCATCAGCCCATCATGACCAGCAAACCGTCTTCCTCCTCTGCCTCCTCTTCTTCCTCCTCCAGCTGGAATAATCATCAAAATGCGGCTTGGAGTACACCTTCCAACCCTTGGGGTGGGCTGCAGGCTGGTAGGGACCCTCGAAGGGCAGTTGGAGTGGGAGTCGGTGTGGGAGTGGGGGTCGGCGTACCCTCCCCCCTCAATCCCATTTCACCCCTTAAAAAACCATTCTCCAGCAATGTCATTGCCCCTCCGAAGTTCCCACGGGCTGCACCTTTAACTCCCAAATCCTGGATGGAAGACAACACTTTCAGGACGGACAATGGCAACAATCTGTTGCCTTTTCAGGTAAATGACTACATGCACCTTCTACACAGTGACAGCTGTCACAGAATTATATTTACTGCAGGGGTATATTTCACATTACTATTCTGCCTGAGAGGTATCTCCTTAACTTATATCTGCACTAAATGGTCACCTCATGTCAAATCACTGGGGTTGATCCTAGGGAGTGCACACACAAAGATCTAAATTCTGGCTTAAGGTTTAGAGTCTTATTTTTCTTGCGATTTATTTCTAAATATCAGCAGGTTTTAATTATTATTATCATCATCATCATTTTTTAGCATTGGAAAGGTAGTAACCTTTATGGAAAGCAGTTTTGACAGACTTTGTTCTACTGGGGCTCTGTTTGTATAATTTTTTTTTTTTTTCACGTTCCCTCATATGTGAGAAACAGGAGGAGATGTTAAAATTGCTGGCTTTGGTTTTCTAAGAGCATGCTAATTTTAACCAAAGATGCTTCTTGACCTGAAATCTAGTAAATTATTTTAATACCATTGAAATAACTGTCCTTATGTTGTAATGATTTAAGGGGGGGCCTGTTCACATAAGGTGTATATATGAAACAGTGTATTTGTCTGATCTGTATACTCACGGTGTTATATTGACGATGTACATTTTTAATACATCTAGAAGCAGCGGGGGTGTGTATGGAAATAGTGGCGTATCTGTCCTTTCCAGTAAGGAAATGCCGAATACAACTGACGTGATTTAGAAATGGCAGGGAGGTATTGTATAAAATAAACCATTTTATGTTGTTCAAAATATTTGCAGGGAAAAGAGACAATAGGACACGACCTTCAGAGCCATATTGCAATGGAGTCTATTTACTAGCTACATAGCTCTGAAATATTTAAAGCTGCAGTGCTTTTTTTTTTTTTTTTTTTTTATCTATGACGACAAAGCAGATCAATTGCAGCTGAAACTAGGCCACATAGAAGATTTGCAATTTTAATGCAGAATGAAACCTGTCATAGTGTTAATTCCATTTTAGATTGAAAAAAGGAGAGCATGCACTTGCAGGTAAATCTATACAAGGTGAAGTGAATCTCACATTTTTTCTGGGTTAGCTTTTGTAGTCTCAGACAAAATTGGAATTTTCTGTTTTGGAATACAATGAAATCATATATATGCGTTCTCTTTCGGTAAGAAGCTTTTTCAACAAACTATGAACTGTCAAATATTTTTAACTTTTTAGAACTATAAGAATGACATCTAGATGGGCACTTTGTATTAGAAACAAAGTAAAAAATAAAAAACCAAAACACTTTAAGAGATTGTTGGAGTAAGATATATGCATTCCTATGCACTTTCCAGTCCCATTCAAAGAGGATATCTTACACTCAGCCCTGAAATTTCATTTTGCTGCTTCATTCTATTTAAAGGGAGAGTTGCTAATTTTTTATTGGCTACCCTAAATGAAGGCGGAGTGGGTGCTGGTAAACTGCTGGTCAATGTCTCTGTAGCACTGAAGTCTGGAGAAAGACTGTTCTTCAGACATGATATGCCTGGGGAAACTATTACATTGCACAGAACACAGTAGCACACAAATATTACATATTGTTCCCAGTCATTTTTAAGAGTGGAAAATGCATTTCAGTTTATGATTATTCTTTTATTGAAGTACTCTAAATGTAAGGCTTCATGAATTCTGGTAAAGAATTTGTATTTGTAGGAAAAATAACAGTAAATGGTCTTATTTTTGTGGTTTGGTCAATGAGGTATAGCGTTAATGAATATACAGCTTTACCTCATGTATTTAATTTTCACAGATCGGAGCATTATTATGCTAGAATTATCTAGCAGTGAAAGTGACTGGAAATTGTCACAAATTAAGCTGTCATATTTAGTCATCATCAGGGAAAAGAGACAATATTTTAAAAGAAAAGTTCATTTGATTTTAAAATTAAGATTCTGAAAATCTAAGGTATGAGTTGATATCTAAATTTGGAAACTTGTTTTCTTCTCTGTGGATTTAACCTGGTATTTTCCTGTTAAACTGAAAGCAAATACTTAGACTACTCTTATTACCAGCTGGAATAAGAGTCTGATTTCAGAGACTTGTGAAACTTGTACACTTTTTTTCCTAGTGGGCTCTTATTAATACAAAATACCCAGTTTTGCATGAGAGATTGTTGTCTGGGTTAATGATGGTTGCTCTTATTCCTCACAAATTGCAAAGAAACCTTGAAACCATGCTATGGATTGCAGACAACTGTTTAGTTCACATTTACATTGATAAAAACAAGTTCATATAGGAGCTTAATATTTGTTGCCTGGCTCGTGATGTTTTTTTTTTCTCTCCTCTAAAAGTTGGGCAATATGTTGACACACTAAGTTCTGCTTGTCAGCACTATCAAGTAATTTTGGCAGGTTTATCCATGTGCATCTGCTACCTTTCATAACTGCAGGTTTTTTGATTTTATTTCAGAAGGGCCTTCCAGTAAAGTTGTTAGCAACATGCTAATGTATGTTAGCAAACTTTTTGTACTAAGCCGTTTTTTTCTCTTTTGTTGAAATTATAAGACACTTTTAAAATTTATGAATAGCATTTAATTACTTAAAATTGAGATATGAAGCTATAGATGTTCTGAGTAACAAGAAAAATATCGCTGGATTAATTGTTTGAATTAATGATTTTTTTATTTCAGATTTTTGTGGTAACCAAAAATTTTAGCAGGAACTTCTATATAAGGATTTTATTCTAAATCTATAATATTTGTAGAGAGCTAGTATCAGTTTCTGATATAGCTAGTTCTAGAATAGTTGATAGAATTTGAAAATGTTGCTGTAAAAGAGATACATATAAAATAATATGCGAAATGTCCTCTTCCGCTAAGTAATTTGAGTAATACATCAGTACACCTTGTTTGTCAAAACCAATACGGTATCTGTCCTGAAGAAATATGTTAAGTTATAGCAGTGTTTAAAATATCAGTTAGTAGGAATTTTGTTGGTATCTGAATTGTGAACAGTGTTGAAAGACAACCAAAGATGCTTTGAAGCAGAAGATTTTCATATAGTTACTGAGAAAAATTGATTGCACTTCAAAAAAATCTGAAAATACAAAGCTGATAGTTGGAAAGGAAAACAAAAAGAGCAATTGATATAGAATAAAATATAATGTATTAAATAAGAGCTGGAGATAAGATCACAGGAATAGATGTGGAACAAGGCCAGATATGAAACATAGGAAGGTGACCAGTTTGTTCTGCACAGTGTTGCTCGGCTTGTGAGTGGTTCAGGCGAAGTTCCTCTGTTGTGATTATCATGTGACAAGCAGTAATATTGTGCCATTAGGCCAGGTTGTCCTCATTTTTGGCTGTAAAATGAAGGAAGCATCAAGTGCATTTGAGGCTGTCATTACTGATTGTCCTTGGGACCAGGGCCACAGTTCAGTCATTTTGTACGGCAGAATGGTGGGGCTCAAGGAGAGCAATTGTCATCTGCTTTTGAGCTGCTCGCGGAATTTTCTTTTTCTTCAGTTTCTTAGGTAAATAGTATATTTCTTTTGGTTCCTCACGATATGATGATGTTGGGATGCATCTAGTAGGGTTGGGAGCATTGATTGTGCTTGAAATAGATCCTTGGAAGCATGGATAAGAAATTCTCTTTACCGTGGAGAAGATAGAGAAGCAATTAAATGTGTGGAGACTACAATGTTAATTAAGGAAGTCTACAATGTGAGTATTTAATAATAACACTATAACAAATAATATGAAAGATTTCCCAGATATTGTTCAGGTTTTGTTAGGTATGCTGCTTTCCTTATGTTCTTCGGAAACACTCCAAAATACACAATTGCAAGTTGTAAATTTAAATAATGTATAGCAATTTAGTACTCTGAAGTTTCTGGCATACATCAAGTGATTCTTAACAGCTTTACTGATAAATATAGCAGAAATAAATAAGAGGACTAGGGTATGTATTCTGAATAAAGATAGTTTTAACATGCTATCTTTTGAGGGGAGGCTGTTACTTACCCAGGAATTGGTGATAGCTAGGTTGAGAAAGCTTTTACGTGGGGAATTAGTCTGAGTCCAAATAGCATGCTAAGCTAAATTTAGAAATGATGTTTATCTTTGATATTTTACACTGATGCAAAATATACATCTAAACATGTGGCCAACTTGTGCATGAATATATGTATATGTGCATAAATATGTGCTTGTATATAGATAGATAGGTAGATATTCATTAGTAATACATTAGCAGGTACAAATACTTTGTCATACGTTGTACTAAACATACTATAGCTGTTTATTAAGTGAAATGGAAGGCAAGGAAATGGCCACTGTATAGTGTTTATAATTCCACTGTAATTTTCAGCTGATTAATAGAAAGCTCCTGAAGAAGCTATTTTCTCTAAACATTTAAAGTCCTTCAGGTCTGCGATATTAGCCCATACTTAGATTTTTCCATTCCAGTACAAATGATATTCAAAACAAATTGTGTGTATATACACACATATGCACTGGACATGCACTGGACTAGTGCATAGAATAATTTTTGTCTTAACTTGAATTCTGAACCATTTGTGTTGACTTCTTTGCAGAACTATGAACTGCCTATAGTTTACTTGTCATAGTTCTGTTTCTTACTTAACACTACAGTAACTTCAACTGCATAACTGGATATGGTATTTATGAAGTGTTAACTGAATCAAAATGAGCTCAAATATTGAAACATTCATGAGTAGCAAATAAAAAAGTTTCATATTCACGTATGAGTAAAGGAGTTTTGCTGGCTAATAGACTTTGACTGTTATTTTAAACTATTTGTTTAAATCAAAATTTTGTTTCACCCAAACATAGTTGGATGCAATAAATCTATTTTGAGATTAGTTAAAATTATATTTCTTTATTCTAAATTTGACATTCTTGGCTACAGCTTCTTGACAGCTTAGTTGGTTATCTAACCATACATAGTATCAATAGCATTACTGGTATGTTGAAAACTATTTCTTAAAGTGTAGACTAACATAAATTTTTCTTATATGATGATAC